TATCTGTAACTTATATTATTAAAACTATAAAAATCAAATTCAGTTTGATATGAGTTAACTAACTATGTTGGTAATCACACTGAAGAGCATCTGCTCAAAAACGGTTCAAGATGTCTTATTTTAAATAACAAAAATGCATCAAAATATAAAAAATGTCTTTATGCAATAGACATTTGAAACTTTTAACAAAGATAAAAACTCCTATCTAATTCAAAGGAGGATCTCATGAAACAGAAATTAGCTTACCAAAACTCCATCATAAGATCCTGTTTCACTTGTCAGAAATGCAAACATGACACACAGATACGGGTTGTTTAGCTGTAATCGTAGAGTGCTGCACATTTCTCTCCAAAGGGAGTTCTTCTCATCCGTATAACCCGATAAAGCCATTGCTACCACATTGAGATTCAGATCTCCTACATTTTAAAAACAGCCAGCTAATCAAAGTGATCAAAAGCTTAATATTTCCTTCTTCCACATTTCTTAAACCATAAACAAACAGAGATCAGAGGGTGACTTTTACCCCCGGAAAAATCAGCCCACTAGAATAAGGGTTTTGATTCAGACTGGAAAATTTGGCAAGGACCACAAACAAAAACTTTCCATTCTTATAAAACTCACGTCTATATTTGCAAACCCTGTGCAGGAAAGTACATCTTTTAATTTTCAAGTTCTCATTCCAGGCAGGTTCCTATAACAGTATGTTATTGCTTACTAACTGAGGAAAAGTGAAGCCATCCTATCAGAATCACTGCCAACTTTATCAATGAGTTCATTTATGCAAAGATATTTCAAAGCCCTGATAATATTATTGCATCTCAGGACTGCAATTTTCAAAATCATTTTACTTTCCTATTTTAAATATATAATACACATACTTATGTATGTGAGTGTCAACTGCAAAGTACAGAAAGCTATATTTCAGTATCTTAATTATAGTATTATAATTTTTCTAGGAAAAAATGAACTATACGAATTACCACAGAATTGCACTTAGACACATTTGCAATAAAGCATTTGTTATCAAAAGTCTTTTAAACATTGTTCTTAGCAACAAGCTGCTAATCTGGCCTTCAGCCCCATGGCTGCCTAGCCTTCTAACATAAGTTCAGCTTCAAAAGAGAAAACTAAATTTACCTTTTACTCTTAAGTGTTTTTTTACATTTATTAGAAGTTTTCTTATTCTGCTTGATTCTAATCATTTTCTTTCTCTTCCAAATAAAACAGCACTTCCCACTTTACATTCTCAATAGCCTTATTCTTCAATAAACATTTTTTCCCCAAGTTACACTATGTGCTTGCTCCCTTTGCCTAGTATTCAAGTCTTTTAAAATGAAAAAACAAAATAAAAATAGCAAAGAAATATCTGTGGATTCCATATAGCAGAATTTATTTCTAAATGGAAAGGAACGTTTAACTCAGATGTCTTCTTCTCTTTGGTCCTTAACCAAGCTATTAAAATCATTGGAAAGATACTTTTCCCCTATTGTTAGTATGGATGTTTAAACACACCACCAAATTTTCCAAGTACACATAACAGAAGAGTATCATGCTTTCAAGTTTGTAGCAAAATTATAATTAGAAATGGCTTTAAATACCAATTCTTTTTTCCATCACCACATCTCTTTTATTGCACTCTCAAATGGGGAAG